TCTGACGGGCCTCTTCCTGAGATGTTGTGGTTTCACTCTGTTTATCAAGAGCAAAGACGTATCCTTGGCCCACGGAAAATAGATGCCCATTTCTTTGAGACGAGGATGAATTTCACCAAGGATTTCAGAGGCAACCGTGACAGAATATCCTCTTGTAGAACTTGAGTAAGTGATTCGAAACTTGAATCCTCCATTTCTGTTTTTTTTTTTCTTTCTTCTCTAATGATATTATTATGTGTTTGAGATAGAGGACTAACGAACACAAAAGTGATATTTATAGAGAATCTCAGAGTTTGTTACCAGTGTTGTGAGTGGGTGATTACTTGTTGAGTCATAAAACGCGTAATACTTTAATTTATATTTCATGCTTTACATCTAAAATCCAAAAGAAAAAATTTTAATTAGTTCCACACGTTAAAAACTTACTAAAATTATTGGCCAATAACCATAGAGATTATTGGATACCATGCATGAAAGTGACAGATTGTTTTTTCGTCGTACTCGTTTTCATAGTTTAATTCTTCGAATACAAATGAATCTTACGTCAAAATATAGATAAAAAGTTAACCATTTTTGTAAGGATTTCAGCGAGGCAACCGTGACAGAATGTTCAATTGTATATCTTCAGGAAATATTTCGAAACATTTTTTTCGAAATTATATATCTCCATTTTCGTTCTTCTCTAATGGTGTTATTATGTGTATGAGACAAAAACACAGATGTGATATTTTTGTAGAAAGCAGAGTTTGTTACCAACGTTGTGACTTTAGTTTAACTTGTTGAGTTGTAAAACGCGTACATTTTTAGGTTACTTTAATTTATTTCCATGCTTTACATCTAAAACCAGAAATAGAAAATTTAGTTCCACAAATACGTTAAAAACTTACTAAAATTGTTGGCCAATTAGCATAGAGATTATTGGATACCAAGTATGACTTTGACAGATTTTCTTTCATCATACACGTTTTAGTAAAAAAAAAATTGTCAAACGTCAAAAGTTGCTGATATTTATGACAGGGATGACTTAAAAACATTTATTTCATCGTATACATCTTAGTCGTCAATCCAAAAAATCATTTTAGTTATAGAAACACGTTTTACTTTTTTACAGGTTTCCAGTTTTCACTTGGATTCATTGAACATAATTTTGTAGACAGGGAGGTTTCACGTATACGGATTAAAACTTAACTGCACATTCTAAAATTTTTTTTAATTTTTTTTATCATGTTACTCGTTGAGGATTGTTTGGTTTATGTTAGGATTTAAAATTGAAAAAAAGAATGGACTGTTATTATATTATTATTAAATATACTATTTAGATTGTCATTATAGGTTTAAGTACGTACTTCTCGAGATTACCAAGTTCAGCTAAACAATAAAAGAACAATAAACAAAAGCAGAGGATAAAGAGTTAGCAATTGCAAATCCAAACCCAAATCTTTAGCCGCACTTAGGTTCTTTTTGTTACCGATCATTTTTAGGTTCTCCAAAAATCTTGTTTAAAAGAAACTCTTATGACCGCACGGTTTGTTATTGAGGCTGAGATTGTGAGTCATGGTTTTGATAGTGCAACTTTAGATGGCTCGGTCTGAAAACGTTAAGAGAAAGCAATTTTAGAGTATTAGATGTAAATAGGTGATATTTTGAGAGTATCACAAGTCCATAAATTATTTTTATATGGATGAAACAATTAGAATTGGACTGATTAGTATCAGCCCAGTGATATTTTTGATACCAGTATCATCTGACGTGACATCTCTTGATTGGTCGCGTTAGCCACAGGGAAAAAAAACATTAAACAAACATTATAAATAATACTAAAAAATTCTTCTGAAAACGTTAAGAGAAAGCAATTTTAGAGTATTAGGTCGGTGGCTGCTACTCTCTTGGCGTTAAAGATATAATTATAGTTCTTGCAACCATCATGAAATTAATAAACTAAACAAATTGGAAGGAAATCAAGAATTAAACTATTAGACTAAAGAACTTTATGTTTTTCACCCTATTACTTTTTCATATAGGAAGCTTCAATTTTGTTATATAGCATAAAATAAAGATTAACGGCAGTAAAAAAAACGAACAATCCCAATAAGACCACTAGTTCTACTTGAGAGACAACATTATTATTTATCATAATTCATAAGTAAAGATTAACGACAATAGAAAATTAGAAATGATGACTAACAATCCCAATAAGACTTGAGAGACTGAACAATATGCAACCAACGAGTTTCTGATAATCAGTGGACCAACTCGTATTCTTCATATAAGCCAAGTACTATCAACATGATCAAAGAAGGTTCGTACAAAATGATCTTGATCAACCATTCTTTCAATCTCAAATCTTCTGAAGTTCGTTGCGTCTGCATCGGAAAACAACACAAAGAGTTGTTCCCCAATCCAATGGGTGTGGTGCGAAAGCAAGTTCTTTTGTTCCAATGGTAGCTTTGAAATGAAACTCCTTATTATCAAAAGTTTCTTTCCAATGAGAAATCTTAATGCTGTTTCTCTCCCAATTTCCATCAACCTCGTTCCTAACCCACATGTCAGTTACTCCACTGCGGGTCAATCTATAGTACTCACCGTAGTGCATTAAGGCGATATCCCCTTTGTAATTCACCAATCTCCAATGATGAATAAGTTCGACTTCCTTAGGCAACTCAATGACACTAAAATCTTCAGAACTCACGTTGAAGCTCATTACCACAGATTTGTCACTATTGGATTTAGCTCCATAGTACAAAACTCCTCCTTTAAATAGTCCTTCAGTAACTGGTGCATGGTCATGCTTACATATGATCGGTCTCCAAGAAGAAGATTCTTCATCCGATGTCATCGTGTATACCTGATATTCCTTTGTTACTTCATCCGAAACTTGTTATACATACCACCTTGAATACATCCCTAACTTCATCGTATCCGAAAAAACTTAGCACTTAGCAGAGTCACACATTTCAGTTTAAGAGAACGCTAAACAAAAGCAGAGGATTATGATGAATCGCGATAGAAACCGATTATACCCTTTTGCAAATCCGAATCTTTAGCCGCACTTTGTTTTCTATTACTGACCATTACATTTACCATTTTAGCTTCTTCAAAACCGTGTTTGTAAGAAACTCTTGTGACTGCCCGGTTTGTAATTGAGGCTGAGGTCGCGGGTCGTGATCTTGATGGTGCTACTTTACTCGGCGGCTTGAGGCCCAAGACATTATGAAACAAGTCGGTTTCATAAGAAGATTCTAGAGATAATTGTAAGACCTAATCCTAATGTGTTTAAAGTCGGTTTAAGGTCTATATATATAGAGGTACCAAGGTGTGGTAACCCTATGAGTTTTAGAGAGTTTAGAGATTGTGTAAGCTTAGGGTTTTTGAGTTAGTTTTCCTTGAGCAATAAAGAAAAGTGTTCTTTAGATTACATAGTCTTGTTCTTACATCATAGTTTTTGATTCAATAATTGGTATCAGAGCGTGATTGAATCATACTACTTAGGTATACGATACGAAATCAGAACTACAAATGTGTGTGTGATACAAGAATACGTGTTCTTGTACAAAACCTAAAACATGGGAGATATAGTCCCTGTGAAACCTAAAGAGGTCAATTCTTCCTCTATACAATGTCCGATGCTCACTGCTACGAATTATACAGTGTGGACTATGAGGATGAAACCGATGCTTAGAGTAAACAAAGCATGGGAAGCCATCGACCCCGGATCAACTGATGGAGACTTGAATGACTTAGCAAAAGCTCTTCTCTTCCAATCAATACCAGAATCACTAATTTTGCAGGTTGGAGAATATGAAACTGCAAAACAAGTATGGGATGCCATAAAAACAAGAAATCTAGGTGCAGATAGAGTTGAAGAAGCTCGACTTCAAACCCTAATGTCTGACTTTGATCGTCTTAAGATGAAAGAAACAGAGAGTATTGATGAGTTTGCAGGGAAACTCTCAGAAATATCCACCAAAGCTGCAGCCCTAGGAGAGAAAATTAATGAAACAAAGATGGTCAAGAAATTTCTTGGATCTGTACCAAGAAAGAAATACATTCATATTGTAGCCTCACTTGAACAAGTTCTTGATCTCAAGAAAACAGGTTTTGAAGACATAGTAGGGAGACTTAAAACCTATGAAGAAAGAGTTCTTGATGAAGAAGAAGAACCAACAGCTGATCAGGGAAAACTCATGTATGCAAATTATGAGTCACAGTCATACCAAGGTAGCTATGGAGGTGGAAGAGGCAGAGGAGGACGATATCCTCAAGGAGGAAGAGGACGAGGTAGATTTAATAATCAACAAAACGGAAGGCAAGAAAGGGATAAATCTAAAGTAGTTTGCTATAGATGTGACAAGCTGGGTCACTTTGCTTCTAATTGCCCGGATAGATTGCTTAAGCTTCAGGAAGCACAAGAAAACAAAGATGATGAAACACATGAGGCAGAGGAGTTGATGATACATGAAGTGGTCTACTTAAATGAAAAAAATTTCAAGCCAAGAAACTTTGAGACTCAAGAAGATGGGAAAAATGTTTGGTATTTGGATAATGGTGCAAGCAACCATATGTCAGGAAACAGAGAATTCTTTTCAAAACTTGATGAAACAGTCACTGGAAAGGTGAGATTTGGAGATGACTCAAAGATAGACATAAAGGGAAAAGGATCAGTCTGGTTTATTAGCAAGAACAATGACAAGAAAATACTTGCAGATGTATACTTTATACCGGATTTAAAAAGCAATATCATCAGTTTGGGTCAAGCAACTGAATCGGGATGTGATGTTAGGATGAAAGAGGATTATCTTACTGTTCATGATAAAGAAGGAAAGCTTCTGGTAAAAGCTAAAAGATCAAAGAACAGACTTTACAAAGTCTTCATGGAATCTGAGTCTGAAAGATGCCTGCAAGTAAAAGAACTGAGTGAGTCAGCCAAATGGCATGCAAGATTAGGACATATCGGATTAGAAACAATGAAGACAATAATAAAGAAAGAATTGGTTACAGGTTTGCCAATTATTCAAACAGAAAAGGAGACCTGTGTCTCATGTCTACTTGGGAAACAATCTAGGAAAGTATTTCCTCAGGCAACTTCATACAGAGCAAGAACAAAGTTAGAACTTGTGCATGGAGATCTTTGTGGACCCATTACACCATCAACATTAGCCCGGAATAGATATGTCTTCGTATTGATTGATGATCATTCTCGATATATGTGGTCTATACTCTTGAAAGAGAAAAGTGAAGCATTTGAGAAATTTAAAAAGTTCAGAAGATTAGTTGAGCAAGAAACTGGTGCTACTATTAAAACATTCAGAACAGATAGGGGTGGTGAGTTTATATCTCAAGAATTTCAAGCTTACTGTGAAAATGCTGGGATACAGAGACATCTTACTGCACCATACACCCCACAGCAGAATGGAGTCGTAGAAAGACGTAATCGAACTCTTTTAGAAATGACAAGAAGCATTCTTAAGCATATGAATATGCCAAACTACTTATGGGGAGAGGCAGTGAGACATGCCACGTATTTGATAAATCGGGTTGGAACTAGAACATTGATTGCAAAGACACCATATGAAGCTTTCAAGGGAAGAAAACCAAATGTGGAACACCTACGCGTATTTGGCTGCACAGGGTATGCAAAAACAGAAGCTCAACACTTAAGAAAACTTGATGATCGTTCAAAACCACTAGTGCACTTGGGTACGGAACCAGGCACAAAGGCTTATAGGATGCTGGATCCAACTACTCGGAGAATAACAGTGAGTAGGGATGTCATTTTTGACGAAACAAAAGGCTGGAAATGGAGCCATCTGGGAAAAGATACAGGAGAGGAACTTGGAACGTTTAAACTGAGTATGAATGTTGGAGTTTTTGGAAATAATGGTCTTAGAGAAGCCCAAAATACTCAAACTCAAACCACAAATGAGACTAATGAAGTTGAAACTGTTAATGAAGAAAACAGTGAAACAGAGGAAACAGGGGAAAGAGATGAGTGTTGTGAGGAAGAAACAGAGGATACTGAGATCCATGAACAGAACCCAGAGCAAATACAATCACCACCTGCAAGAAGAACCTCACAAAGACAAGTTACAAGACCAAAGTACTTAAACGATTATGTACTGTTGGCTGAGCTTGAAAGTGAACGCCTCTTGTTGGCTTTGGATGAAGAACCATGGGATTATGAGGAAGCAAAAGAAATGATAGAATGGAGAGAAGCCTGTAAAGATGAGATCTCATCAATTACTAAAAATAACACATGGAGCTTAGTTGATCTTCCTAGTGGAGCTAAACCTATAGGACTGAAGTGGGTGTTTAAAATCAA